ATATGAAAGCAATTGAGGAGCCATGCTTTTCAGGGAACATTTTTTCTCTGATGTTGTTCAACACTTGCATAATAACAATAATATAGCTCACAAATTATTGTTCACCTTTCCCCAGAACTCAACCTTCTCTTTAAATACTCACCATGTAATATTTTCGTAGTTTTTTGCTCTTTTCTTCTTCGAAAATCTAATCGCAGCCTGATCTTTCTAAAGCGAGGAGCATAGTAAGAGGGCGCTCGACAACAATCCCTTTGTAGTGCCGTTGATTACAGGGCAGTATGGCCAACCCGGATCGAGTTGGGCCGAATATGGCTAGCACACAACAAAAGCACTATTAAAAACCAAGTTGGTCTAACTCTGGGTATAGATGTTTGTTTTTTTATCCTTTCAAAATATATTTTTTAACATTGAGAAGTCCCCCTTTGTGCGTTTCCGAATAATCAGCTTATTCAATGCCCCCATGCCTTTTCCCAGGCGCGGATCCAGGATTTCTTAGGGGGGGGGGACCCAAATTTAAAATCAATTTGAAATTTAGTGTGCTGAAAAATCACGTTTTTTACACGTTTTTTCCCCAGGGGGCCGCCCCCCCCCCCCTGGATCCACCACTGCCTCTTCCACCCCTCTCTCGGTATTCGTACATATTCACTCCTGACCTGTATGTATGAATAATGATTACCTAATTTTCATGACCACAAATCCGTTATCTCTTTGCGTTTGGAACTAATAATATTTTTTTATATTTTTGCACAGATAGTATATACGGACAGTAAATTCAGCTCCCCCCCCCCCAATCACACTCTGGATGAATTTATTTATTACGTCATCTCTCCAATATGGGAAAGGGGAGGGGGTCCAATCCTCATTTGTGTGACAGTAGAACAATAAGGCAGTCTGAATGGTGAAAGTTTAAAATATGCTATATGCGATTCTCATGTTGGCAATTTACGTAGTTAAGGACAAGTGTCCCGTCTGTCGTGTACACAATTTTATTTCATATCTTTTTCTCCCATATGCCTTCTCCCTTGGGGCACTACTAGAAATGTATAATTGAAACGAAAAAGTTCCTCTGAGTTCTTCATTTGTTTTCTTCATATTCTTTTCGTGTTTGAACAAATGGGAAATGTGTTCACTACTACATCACAGTCACATAACCGGTGCAGCCAATTTGAATTTTCATTAAGTGTAGTGATTACAACTCTCAAAAATGCACAACTGTGATATCTTAAAAGGTGATATGGAATGCACCAGTTACACGTTGTCTCCTGGGTATCAACTGCTTAGTTTTTCATGTGTGTGTGTGTGTGTGTGTATTTGGTTTTTTACAGACGTGTATCAATCAGATATGATTATTTACGTCTGGGGACCGACCTTTAACGTCACCATCCGAAAGACGTGACTCAGTTTCGAACCTGCGTCCTCGGCTGAATCAGTTTGTAACTTCCACTGTTAGCTGGATTACAGGCGCACGCCACAACGCCTAGTTTTATTACTAAATCAGCCACAAGGTGGCGCTAGAACAACTCATCCCTTCATAATGAAAGAGTCATCAATATTATTGTTCGGACATCTGTGAAAGCATTCATGTTGGCTTTAACCACAATTTGGGGAATCAAGATCCAGATTGATCACTTGCCATAACCTGATAACTCAACGTGTGTATATATATATATACGTACAAATGTCATACATGTTAGTTTTAACTGTCGTAGAGTTATAATAAAACCAATGTTTACTAATTGAATGATATATTTATGTCTGTGCAATTATTTATCCATTCCCCTGTTTAAAGACACATACACATTTTTATTCATGACATTTTTTTCCTTTAAACACCGCTGTAAAAAGAACCATATTTTGTTCCAAGCCTTGCCCTTTTTTTGTTTTGGTTGTTGTTATTGTTGTTGAACTGCATACAAAAATAAACTTCATATAATATATTTCAGTCGTTGAGTGAGTAGAATGTGTACTGTATTTGTGTTAATAACAAATGAAGCATTCTTCTCTTTCTAGAGGGCAATCTCCATACATGGAACAAGTGTCATTGTGTAGACCTATATATTCATTTATGTGTGAGTTTGTAATACATGGTTTATATCAGGCACCCAATTATCAGTAGATTATAAAAATCGCGGATGTGTCAACCCACGTGCATTCATTACCTGTCATCTTGATATAAAGTGGCATACACGGCCCTATTAATTACTTTGATGTTGAGTTATTATGAAAGGTGCCATTTTTATATTATTCCAGTTCACGATAAAATACTGGTACTCACGGTACCATAATAGACGTATCGTCCAGCACCATAGCTGAATGGTATAACCATGGCTCCCCCCCCCCCCCTGTTCTAGGGTAGAAGAATGCTTTAGTAACTTGTATTCATAAATGAGGTACCGATGGTAAATGGGTCACTTTTTTAACCCGGGGGATAGGCCTTTTTAAGAGTCAGTTGAGGGACATTGTCATTTTTGACTTAAATCCACTCTTATTATAGCGGAATCCACTCCAATGCATTACTTTTCTTGAGAATGTGTTCGACCATTTGGTGGCTGATTTCCTTTCTCAAACGAAGTTATGCCTAACACAATTACAAGAAGAGTGGATTGTTAGTATTGTATTCTTTGACTTTACATTTTTCTTTTCTTTTATAAAAATTCAATTTATTTTTATAAATTCATTTCAATTGAATTTCCACTCCATATTAGATAGTAAATTTGCCTGCTTGACTTGTATTCCCCTCAGTTACCCTGTGTTGATTTCAGCTACACATCCATAACAACAAAAACGTATTCTTCATTCATACAATCGTCTCTCAAACCAATTGAACACAATCGTACAAGACATGAGTGAGAAACAAGACATTTAATCATCTGCGGGTATTCATATTTGTGATAAAATATACAGGTGTGTAAACGTATTTACAATGCAGTCATTCAAAATATTAAAGAACTAAAAAAGAAATTATATGCATTCCTAAACTCTTCAAGGGAGTATTTCATAATTATAGTGCTATATTATCGTCGCAATCCATAATAAATTTATCACCATTATACTGCTTATTATTAAAACTGTCCATTAACCTGTCTGTTATTAACTTGAAGAAGGAAGATGCCTTCCAAAAATATGTGTACTTGTCAAACTTGAATAATAAACAGTTTAATAAAGAATCTTGCAAGAATGTAATTGTTCATTAAACTATTATAGATTCATATGAAATATTCATGCGTTGATATACAACTATATTATAAATATAACTAGCAATCATGAATTATGTCTAATCTACTAATATTTATCTGCAGGTATTCGTATTTGTGATAAAATATACAGGCGTGTAAATGTATTTACAATGCAGTTCTTCAAAATATCAAAACACGAAAAAAGAACTTGTATGCATTCCTAAACTCTTCAAGGATGTATTTCATATTAATTATCGTCGCAATCCACAATAAAGCTATCACAATTATATCAATTACATATATACTGTTCATTAATCTGTTTGTACTGCTTATTAAGCTGTCCATTATACTCTCTGTTTTTAACTGAAGAAGGGAAATGCCTTCCGAAAATCTGTGTACTTGTCAAACTTGAATAATAAACAATTTGATAATATAAGCATGAAACTTGCAAGAATGTAATTGTTCATTTAACTATCATAGATTCGTATAAAATATACATGCGTTAATATACACCTATATTATAAATATAACAAGCAATCATGACGTGTTTCTAATAAACTAATATAGATCTGCGGGTATTTGTATTTTTGATAAAATATACAGGCGTGTAAACGTATTTAAAAGAAGTTATTCAAAATACTAAAAAACGCAAAAAGAACTCGTATATCCCTAAACTCTTCAAGGGTGTATTTCATAATTATAGTGCTATACTATCGTGTCAATCCACAATAAAGTTATCACAATTATATTAATTACATATATACTGTTCATCACACTGTTTGAACTGATTATTAAACTGTCCATTATACTCTCTGTTTGTTTAACTGAAGAAGGAAGATGCCTTCCAAAAATCTGTGTACTTGTCAAACTTGAATAATAAACAATCTGATAATGTTAGCATGAAACTTGCAAGAATGTTATTGTTCATTGAACTATCATAGATTCATATACAATATACATGCGTTAATATACACCTATATTATAAATATAACTAACAAACATGATTTGTGTCTAATATACATCATTACGGCAACAAGTATTGCTGAATTGTTTAAGGTTTAATAGTGATTTGGAGTACTGACAGTGAGTTCCATACTTTATGGAAATATGAGAATACGATGAATGGTCCGAAAAAAAGAATATACATAATTAATTATAATATAAGGCAAACAATACATTCTTTCCGTTCGAGAAGTATCCTACTTGGCACGGACCAAACAAAGGTAAACAAAGTAACTGAAACATTGCACTTAAAGAACCATTAATCTCTCTATGTAAATGAGCAATAGTTGATTACTACCACTGCTACAACCTTTTTTCTTTCTCCTTTCTTTTTCTTTTTCTTGTTCTCCTTTTTCTTCTTAATAATAATGATAATAATAATAACATTTCTTGTTTACCCAGGCAAGCCTCATCAGTATTTATACTGTTCTCCCTGAGGGCCCTACAATCATATTATTACCCCGTCATCGGATTCAGGCTTACCCGCACACAATATTATTATCATAATATTTAATTATCATTAGTATTACCCGTTTTCTTCTTCTACTACATTTCCTCTACAACTGTTATTACTACTATTACCAACGTTTCTGCGATGGTAAACTATAATGATCATAATACATGATAATGCTATAAGTCTGGGTTTGAAAGTCAATTCCGCTTGAGTTCTATTTCCCTTTTCATAAGCAAACTGTGAAGATTGGATACGTTTCATCACTTTAACAAAAGGAAGAGAGGGGAAATTGCTTGGTATTTTTGTGGATATCACGTCTGCAATTTCGTTATTTTAGCATTTAAGAATTTCTTTTATTTTCCAAAGCGATTTATTATTGATTTTTGTATATATTGTTACACAATCGAAGATATGAGAGTTGTGCTCGAACATTCCTAGTCTTTGGATCACACCCATTCATTACTTCAATAGACACTTCCCTAAAGGTTTTCTTAAAATTCAGTTATCTTACAGTATGTTGATCGATGCTTTGATGAATTTGAAAACTTGTAATAGTTATTAAACAATTCCAATTGATCTTGAGAAGAGGATATCAGCGAAATTCAATATATAAAAAACGCTCAATTTCTGGTCTTACATTATGTGAATACGAGTGTAAAATAATCTTAACTGCATTAATCACAGTATTTAACATTATCGAACAAAGTGAGAAAAACGAAAACTGATCATAATATATATTTTCATTTTTGACTCATCTGAGAAAATATAAGCTGAAGCTGGGAGAACAAGCGCGCGTTTATTTTTGCGATTCACTCCGATGAGGGCAAGACAAGATGTATGTTATCATTTCTATTGATTCGATTGTGCAGTAACAATTATCACCTTAAACATTGTGACGTATATCCGCTTAACCGGGTAGTTCGTAGTCATCAGTGTAACCTAACCAATGTAAGAAATGATGTATGAGGTCATCCAACGAGCATAGTGATGTATTTCAGGTATAAGACAATGGTACATGGCAGCTTGGCCGGTAATACACTGGATCTCCATCATAGTGAGAAATGTAATAATGTTTTTCATCCCGTATACCATCCTGAAGAAGAAGACATATTGTTATATTATAATATCAACAAACAACACATGCATAAACCATAATTAAATCATTCTGGAAAGAAAGAAAACAATGCTAATTAATATTTTATACCTCTCTTTAGTATGTTGAATAAATCTAGTCCTCTCATTTATCGAAATTGTAGTCGTGGTTTTAGACATGCCCGCCTAACGGTCAATAGTTAATGAGAAAGATGCCCGTTGCCCGCATAGTTAAATTTGCTGAGATCACCATTGGTTTACGTGTAAAAACAATCTGTGTGCGAGCGCGGATACAATACAGCGTGTGTGCGATTTGGGCGCTACATTTTAGGGTTTAAAATTGCACAGCGCGCGCAGCGCAGACGACCGGCGATCTTGATTGTAAGCCTACATGTAATCTCCGATTTTGTTTAGTTTTTTAACTTTAATTTATGTCCAAAGGAGGCAATAATGGCTGAAGCAACTCTTCCTAGATTTGAACTTCTCGATGATGATCAATAGCAAGACTTGATTATTTCTGCGGAGAGCAAGACCACCAAAAGTTCCGTGAGATCTTTTGTAAAAATATATAAAGACTACATGCAAGTTATTAACACAGACCTCGATAGCGTAAGCTACTGTAGAATTTCGAGTTGGACAACGTTCTCCAAAGGTTTTACGCTGGTGCTAGACGGAAGAACGGTTCCTTTTACAGAAAGAAGTCAATGTTATCTACTATATTCGGACTTCAGCGTCACTTTCTCAAATCAAAGAATATGGACATTATGAAGCATGAAGATTTTTCAAATTCGATGAGAGTTTTCAAGTGTTTTACAGGAATGCTTTAATAAAATGGAAATGGAGTTGTGACTCAGAAACCAGCTATCTCACAAGAAGACATGAACGAAATCCAAGGTTCGCTTGATTTGGATGATCCTCTAGGTCTTCAGGACAAGGTATTTATTGATCTTATGTTGTATTTTTGCAATCGTGGGAGGGATTATTTACGCGAAATGACACCAGCAACAAGCATCAGCGTTTTGACCAATAATGGGCTGGAGATAAGTATTTATTACCCTTTGATCTTGATGACTGGAATATCAAGCCCGAACTCCTCACTCTTTATCAATAATTATTATCCGTACAGCATTCATTTGTTTTGAGTCTATCTGTTTTATTGTATTTGACTGAACTTGTCTTGATGAGCGGGTATGTCAAAACCCTCTTTGCCATTTTTAAATCGTACTCCGATTTGTCATTATTGCTATGAAGCATTATGTTTCTTCCCATTTATTTTGTGTGCCAAAATACATCTTTTAGGCGGGTGGTCGGGCTCTGCTCTGTTGATCCTAAGCAATAATTGAACCATATTTTTGTTTACATGGTCTATTTATCCTTTTGACCATTTTTTGGGTCAGAAAACAGAAAAAAATCAGTGATAATATTCAGAAAAACTGTCGGAAGGTGGTAACATATTAAACTGAGAACCGCAATTAAATAGAAGAAAAAAATTATAAAACGAAAGAATATTCACCAAAATAAAATCAAGGTTATCGGCTCATGTATTAACGATAGTAAGACAGAAACAAACAAGTATGAAGAGCCAAATAATGAAGTTATTAAAGAAATGAATAAATCATACTTAAAATCCTAGCATCGAAACGAAAAATATCGAAAACAAGGAAAGAAATATTTGAAGTGATAACAAATATATTGCAGCAAAATTCAGACAGAAGAAACAAGAATCAAGAGAAGAATTATGTTGTTTAGCAACGTTTCGATTTTATGTTGATCATTTGATGTGTAGGAAATGGGATAAAAATAAACAACAATCAAGACAGAGACCCGGGACATATTCAACAGAGCTGAATACGAGAAACAAAAATGAAGTTTTTAAACAACTTATGAAGCAGAAATAGTCGATTTTCCAGAAAAAAGTAACACAAAGGAAAAGTTAACCTAGAAAATGGGCCTAACAATGGAAATAAATTTGTAATGAATTACTGAAATCGAGAATAAAGAACAATATTAGCGTCATAGGGTGGTATTCTCTTAAGTTAAGCCGGGACTAAGTCCAGACTAAACAAGAATTTTAGTTCGCACTTCTATGGAATGCTAGGTTTTATCTTCCTCCTTCAATATTCATGACAAAGATAATCTACCAAGGACTTTGTTGAAATTTATTTTATACTCATATTATCTTTTACTTCCTATTTCAGTGCAAAATTAATTTTTTGGACACTTTTCATTGAAGGATTAAAAAAATCTGTTCAGGGTAAATTAGTTCACAACAGGCACTCCATAAAAGTGTGAACTAACTAAGCACGCGCTAACTTAGTACGCGCTACCGGAATACCACCCATAGTTGTTATACACATTAAAATAACAAAAATGAAAGTGTACCGTGCACACAACGTGGGGCAATACTTACATGATAAACATTAACACGGAGCTGATCGTTGGCTCGAGTTGGTTTGCCAAGTTCAATGAGATGAGATCCCAGTCTGCCGCCCTCTCTACTTCCACAGTTGTCTAACCTATGTTCAGAAAACAGAGTGATAGAGGTAAGGTGCGTTGGATGTTCAGAAATGTCCATGGGAATTTTAGTCGTTTCCTCAGCCCTTGCATTGTTTAAGCATTGAAAATGCACAAAATTAAGAAATAATGATACGTATGGTGATTAATATGATAATAAAGTTAAATTAACAAATGATGATAATAATAATCGTAACAACAATGATAACAAACTTTAGTGATAATCATAATGATACTGATAATGGTGATGAAGATGATCAGGATGAGGATAATGATAAAAATAGCGGTAATACAATAGTTGTAACAATAGTTATAGTGATGATGATGGTGATGATAATGATGATGATAATAATCATTAAGAAGTATGATAATAGTTCAATGTCGAAATAAACTATTAAAAAATATCAACTGAAGGAAGATTATATTAGCTGCCGACGGTTCATAATAAGAATACATGCAATTGTAAATTGAAAATTTGCAATTTCAATAAAGGTATTCAGATAGTTTTCATTGCGACTGCACATTGACATTTCTTTTGTAAAATAAGAATTACAAAGAGTCACGCAAAACCAATCCTAAAGTACAGTCAAAGTCTAGAGGCTTCACCAACGTCTAAACCTTTCTATCCCTTTATGCATTCGATTCATTATGCTTTACCACTGCAGACTAACTGAATAGAATCATCTAATAGGATTTAATTTATTTAATACAAGATTTTAACAAGAACCTACCGCACATATGACATGTTCTTTACATAGCTGCAGTACTCGATGAGGTAAACCAAGTCTTCCTCGTCTTTGCACTTCACTCCGGACAGATGTAGCCAAACTAGGTTGGTTTGTCCACTGATCAGTGCTGTCATCGTCTCTCTCGATACATGGTTCTTCTCTGATGGGAGTAATGGCGGTGCGCTAAGCTTGATGTGTGTGAGCTGCTGTCCTCCGGTCCGACGAAGACCAGCCGTGATCAGAGGTATGTCTCTCTCTGCATCATCGATAGTGATATCGATATCTCCCAAGCCAGGAAGCGATGAGAGCAGACCTTCATAGCTTTGTGACGTCACTCTCTCGGCTGATAGCTTTGTGACGAATTGAAGCTCCGGAGGAGATGAAGGGAAACTGAGAGAGGAGTCTGAGATGCTGAGATGGTCCAGTGAGGTGAAGGATCTGAGACAGGACCAAATTCTGGCAGTCATCTCAGTAGATAACAGACATTGCTTTATCTGAAGCCTAGTATTCTGCAATGAAATGCAAACAGACGAACTTGTCGCGTGTATATGTATCGATCGAGATATTGAGACTAAACACGTGGAGATACGTAGAATTCCATATCGTTGAAGCTGGAAATACAAGGCTTGAATCAATGCTTTCATTAAAACAATGCAGCTGTGTTGCAATTTTCTTTAATAGTTCTATTCAAAGGATATCTCTTTCCTCAATATTTGAAAGCAAAATGCATGCACACGTTTAACAAAAGTCTACTCACTTGAATGGCGTACTTTTCGTTTAGAGAACCACCTCCACTCCTACATAGAATATTTGAAAAGGAATGAGAGACAGAACGTGATTCAAGCAAGTCTTTTAAAATAACATTACATTAATAAAGAAAGCAAGGAAATTGTATATCCCCTCTTTACATAGGTAATATGAAAGCAATACTAACAATAGCAATAATGAAAATAATCATATCATAATAATAATAATGATAATAACAAATATAATCAGGATAATGATATCAATAATAATAAGAATATCAATATATTAAGATGTTAATAAGATCATTGTGTTCATGTCTTCTTAAAAAGCGACATGAACACAAAGATCTGTGAATGAATTAAGATCTAGCTCTAGATCTACTTACTCCGAATTCAAGTACGTTAATTGTTTAGTCTTGACAAACATGCCAACCAAGTCTTCTTCGTCTCTGCCCTTCACTCCAGACACATGCAGCCGATGTTGATTTATGGTTTGGTCTTCAAATAGAAGACTAAGCTCTCCAATTGACTCTCCTGAATCAATCTTCCTGTCTGTGGTGAGTCCTTGCCAGGCGTGTAGTCTGATGTGAACGAAGAACTGTTCATCCCTAGCCCTGGGCTGACCCATGGGCCTGAATGCGGTGGTGATCTGAAAAGTGTTGCTCGTCTCTGTAACATCGATAGAGACATCGATCTCTCTCACACCAGGTAGCGATGAGAGCACTCTTTCGTAGCTTTGTGACGTCACTCTCTCGGCCGATAGCTTTGTGACGCATGGAAGCTCCGGAGGAGATGAAGGGAAACTGAGAGAGGAGTCTGAGATGGTGAGATGGTCCAGTGAGGTGAAGGATCTGAGACAGGACCACATTCTGGCAGTCATCTCAGTAGATAATAGACATTGCTTTATCTGAAGGACAGATAGCAAAATAAAGAGAGACTAGATGGTTACATCCACCCAATGATGTTAGGCGAAACTGGAGAGATAATGAGACCGCACCCCCCTCCCCCTCCTCCCTTAGTGTTAAAGCTTCATGGTGGACATTAAATTAATACAATAATAATGATAACCAAAGTAAAAAAAATATTGGCTGCATTCGATATTACGCGTCGAGCTGTAGACGAATCACACATGTGTATCTGTAAGAGATGTTTATGATTTGGTTGGTAAAAAAGAGAAAGTTTTCTTTTTTGTTTTCCTGTAAGATGAAATCATATACTGCTTTCTTAAATATTAGATGTCATATAGTCAGGGTTGGCAATATACCTGGTAATACCTGGAAATACCTGGAAATACGGGGAAATGCGGAGAAATACTCATACGCATACCACTGACATTGCAACAAGCGAACAAAGCACTTATGGCAATGGGTTATTTAATCTAACTAAATTTCCTTTTCAATTGGAAATTTAATAGGTTTCTTAGAACTAAAATGGCTTCTCTGAACATTCTTTTCACATTTTAAGACATCTACTCGCATCCTTTGGCATGACATAGTTTGTTAACATAGTTTGAAAGCCATATCATTCCCTTTAACACTTTGTAGAGGTAACGTGGTCGAGTGGTTATGTCACCGGACTGTGGATCACAAGGTCCGCGGTTCGAGTCCCGCCGCGGCAATAATGTCCTTTGGCAAGGTATTAGTCTACAATTACCACACTCCAGTTGAGGTTAATGGGTACATTGTAGGATTCTTCCTTGATTCCTTGATTCCGGCTGCCGGAGCTATAAAGCTAGGATAATCATTTCCGGAGCTCTTTGGTAGCGCATAGGGACGTTATAATGTGATATGCGCTGTACAAGAACGGAATATTATTATTATTATTATCTTATCATGACTATAGTAATAGGAATTTTTTTAATTGTAATTATGCGTTTAATATTGATTGTTGCTCAATAATCTAAACATTCCAGAATCTATAGTGTTTAAACAAAATTGAGTAGGCCTACTTCCCTGTATTTCCCGTTTTTGTCCAAATTTGCTTGGCGGTATTTAACAGTATTTACTGCCTGTATTTTCCGGCCCACTTTGCGTATAGTATTCATTTCAAATATCGTCTTACCTGGACATCTATTTGTCTATCGTAGTGGAATGACCCACCTTCAAGAGACCTATAGTATTTCAAAAAGAGAAATGAATGGAGAAAAAAAAAGGAAAACAAATGGAAATATTTATATTGTAATAAAGTATCATTCATTACATACCATTGATATGGTTCTAGGACAATTACCCCCTTGGCAATCATCCCCCGGAAAATTACCAGCGGGACAATTACCCCCCGGAAAATTACCCTCCGAGGGCAACCTAACCCCCTCCTCACCGCCCCCCCCCCCCCCACCCCGATGACAATTACACCCGAAAAAAGTCTGCTTTTATTAAAACCAATGAATTATCAGGGTGGACTTCCCCATAAATGAACAGAGGTGTAATTTTCATGGAGGGGGGGGGGGAGGGGGCGGGGGATATAAATCCACTCGGGTGTGGTTTTCCTTGGTTGTCCTGGGGGGATTTCTGGAGAGTGATTGTCCTCAGGGGGGTGGTTGTCCTCGGGAGAAATATTTTCCGTTTTTTTCGGGGGGTAATTACCCTGGGGGGGGGGGGTTCCGGGGGTTGATTTTCCAGAGGGTAATTGTACCGATACGCATTGATATCCGCTCTGCATGTGAGAAGCACACAATGCAAAAGTTGGTGGTAGATTTAAGATTTGGAGTAAGGCTATGCTATGTTAAATGCCAAGCCTTGAAAAAAACACACATATAGTTTCAATATTTATTAGAGCTACAGGAAACAAAGTACAGTGATAGCGACACCCACTTCTGCGATAGGACATAGAGCGGGCTGGAGATGGCGGGTCAGAGGATGTCTATTACATTAATACATCGACTCGATCTTCTATGTTAATTGCCCCATCGTTCCTCTAATCAATTTCACTTTTTGTGTTTGTCGTAACAGGTTATTTTACACACGTTACTAATCTTAAGTAAATATTTATTCTTTGATACAAAGGCATCGCCCTTTTGGCTCTGATAAACAAATGATTTTAAAAAATGATTTCACAGTTATTTTGGTTAATTTTCTTTATATCCAAACTCACTGTAAATGCAGACTATCCAAAGATTTTAAAGATGCTGACGACTCGACAAGTTCAACCAAGTCTTCTGCGTCCAAGCACTTTATACCGGACAGACCTAGCCACTGCAGGTCCTTGGTTTGTTCTCTGATCAGAAGACCCAGGTCTCTCATCGTCTCTCTCGATACATGGTTCTTCTCTGATGGGAGTGATGATGCTGCTTCAAGACTGATGGATGTGAGCTGCTGTCCTCTGGTCCGACGAAGACCAGCCGTGATCAGAGGTATGTCTCTCTCTGCATCATCGATAGTGATATCGATATCGCTTAAGCCAGGAAACGATGACAACAGACCTCCATAGCTTTGTGACGTCACTCTCTTAGCTGATAGCGTTGTAACGGATGGAAGCTCCGGAGGAGATGAAGAAAAACTGAGAGAGGAGTCTGAGATGCTGAGCTGTTTCAGTGAGGCGAAGGATCTGAGGCAGGACCACAACTTCACGGTCATCTCAGTAGATAGATTGCAGTGCTGTATCTGAAGCCTAGTATTCTGCAATGAAATGCAAACAGACGAACTTGTCGCGTGTATATGTATCGATTGAGATATTGAGACTAAACACGTGGAGATACGTATAATTCCATATTGTTGAAGCTGGAAATACAAGGCTTGAATCAATGCTTTCATTAAAACAATGCAGCTGTGTTGCAATTTTCTTTAATAGTTCTATTTAGAGGATATCTCTTTCTCTAATATTTGAAAGCAAAATGCATGCACACGTTTAACAAAAGTCTACTCACTTGAATGGCGTACTTTTCGTTTAGAGAACCACCTCCACTCCTACATAGAATATTTGAAAAGGAATGAGAGACAGAACGTGATTCAAGCAAGTCTTTTAAAATAACATTACATTAATAAAGAAAGCAAGGAAATTGTATATCCCCTCTTTACATAGGTAATATGAAAGCAATACTAACAATAGCAATAATGAAAATAATCATATCATAATAATAATAATGATAATAACAAATATAATCAGGATAATGATATCAATAATAATAAGAATATCAATATATTAAGATGTTAATAAGATCATTGTGTTCATGTCGTCTTAAAAAGCGACATCAACACAAAGATCTGTGAATGAGTTAAGATCTAGATCTAGATCTACTTACTCCGAATTCAAGTACGTTAATTGTTTAGTCTTGACAAACATGCCAACCAAGTCTTCTTCGTCTCTGCCCATCACTCCGGACACATGCAGCCGATGTTGATTTATGGTTTGGTCTTCAAATAGAAGACTAAGCTCTCCAATTGACTCTCCTGAATCAATCTTCCTGTCTGTGGTGAGTCCTTGCCAGGCGTGTAGTCTGATATGAACGAAGAACTGTTCATCCCTAGCCCTGGGCTGACCCATAGGCCTGGATGCGGTGGTGATCTGAAAAGTGTTGCTCGTCTCTGTAACATCGATAGAGACATCGATCTCTCTCACACCAGGTAGCAATGAGAGCACTCTTTCGTAGCTTTGTGACGTCACTCTCTCGGCCGATAGCTTTGTGACGCATGGAAGCTCCGGAGGAGATGAAGGGAAACTGAGAGAGGAATCTGAGATGGTGAGATGGTTCAGTGAGGTGAAAGATGTGAGGCTAGACCACAACCTTTTGGTCATCTCAGTAGATAGCTGGCACTGCTGTATCTCAAGCCCAGTATTCTGTAAAATGAATTGCACACATCACTTTTTGGACTAAAAGAGGGGAAAATAGAATTCCATATCAGTGAAGTTGAAAATACAAGGTTTAAATTGCACCATTGAAATTCATAATCCGATAAATGATTTAATTTTTTAATAAGAAGAACAAATGCTACTTTGCTAAAAATTTCCTCAGTTCAAGGCAGAGAGGATATTCCTATATCGAATATGCGAAATGCATGCACCTCTAAACTATTCCAAAGATTTGAATTGGCAAAATTGTGAAACTAGAAGAGATTATTTTATTAATATGCTTATGTTCCGATGCATACATGGTAATGCTCCAATAAGACTATGTAATGAATTTGAAATGTTCTGTGATAGACATGGTTTCAACTCTCGCAATTCTGACTCACTCAATGTGGTCTTACCAAAACCTAATACTGAAATATTCAAGCAATTGTTTAGACATTCAGGCCCGAAAACATGGAATTCTCTCCCAAATTAAATGCAAAATCAACATACTCTTTCCTCGTTCAATAGTGGTTACAAACGCAAATTTTTCTAAAATAACAAACTTCAGTTTCACAAGTTCTGGCCGGCCGTATTTAATAATCATAACAATCGTTGATCGAAGTTGCAGTTTTTTTGTAGATGCAATTTTATATATTATATTCATATGTATTTATTGTATATTGTTTTGTAGATGCTGTTTTATATGTTATTTTTATATGGATTTATATATTTGTATTCGCACTTGTTACTCAATTCTAACCATGGGGACTTCTAACCGTTTTTATTGCTGTTATTATTTCTTTCCACTCAACAATTATGATTGGTTGTTTCATTAACTTCTTCCAAAATCTCATTTATGAATGGTTGCCAGACGTTTTATTAGGATTTTTTGTGTGTACTATGCTTGTACATTATTTTCCTTCTCTTGAACTCGTTTGTATAGGTAAGTGAATACATGAGGGTGTGTGATAGTGTATGTGGGTGTGTGTGTGTGTGTGTATACATTGGAGTGGGTAGGGTGGTGTTCACACACGTTTGTGAAATAGTATGCTTGAGTGCGAGTGAAGATATGTAGGAGTTTCACGTGCGAGTATGAGTGAGTATATAATGCGTGAGTGCGAGTATATGAACGAGCCTTTTTTTGAAGATCTGTGTTGTTCTGTATACACATATATTTATTACATTTTGTATTACATGTTTAGTTAAATCCTCGGTCTGGCAACTATTTTTCATTATTTTTTCTAATTTTTTTTCTCCATTAAAAGCCGTATTTTTTATTTTATTGATGTAATAAAGAGAATCTCATTGGTTAAAATTGGAAATGTTTAACCATGTTAACAGGACATCGATTAAAAACAGCTTTGCTAATTCGATTGTTTATTTGTTATCCTGTATAAATATGTCATACAAATAAATTAATCTACTCACCAGGATGGCATACCCGTCGCTGTTAAGAGAACCACCTCCACTCCTACATATTTTTCGAAATCGAAATGAGGGTGAGAACGTGATTCAATAAATTCTGGGGAAATGATATTATATAACATTGATAAAGAAATAAGTGAACTGTACGTCCCTCTAAACAGGGGTAATGATCATGACTATGAATAACAACAACAACAATACTGATAATGACAATAATAATAATAACTTTATATGCAATCGTGTCACAGTGATATGCGTGCAATGACAAGTGTGTTTCTACGTGTCAAACATAAGAGCTTCTCTCGGACTATCCTAAGCAATTTGTAAGAAGTATGTAGCTTCTGTGATGGTGGAGATGGTAGGGCGAAAGAAAGGCCTAAAAACGGCCCGATTAAAACGGAAAAAATGGCGCCTGGACGGTCGCACATGAGTGATTTTACATACGAAGAGTTCAGTGACCTTGATGGGATGCTAGAGACTACGCCTACGAAGTTTGAAAGGAATTTGGAAAGAGAAGGAGACCTAGAATGGGCTCGTAAGCACTGCGTTCAAAACGAATGGGATTGTGGTAAACGAAGAACACGTGATGACGCATGCTGTGGCACTAACGGCCGTCCATACTGACATACACTGAACCATGACTGTACGCAGCGGGGGGCTAAGGTAGGGGGCTGTTCTCACAAATAAAAAAAAATACAAAGAAAATGCAATAATTTTTCAATAATTGATTGCATTTACCCCCGGTCCCAAACAGAAAAAAAAATCTTCTCTGTGCCCATGCCTTGAGCCATAATGCATGGTCGTACAGAGGATTGAGAGAAGAATGACATGAGAGAAGATAGAACGCTCTTATATGACAAAATGAGTGAGAGCTGTGAGTGATATATGTGTGCATGTATGTTTAATTGACACGCGACAACACGCATCTCCATACACAATGGTCATCTTCACTGTCTACAGTGGCTTATGCCGAAAGGGTGGGAGGGGGGCGTCGCGGCGCGTTGACTTAAACGCGACCATTCGTCTAAAGCCCCTCCCCTCCCCACAGTTTTGCCGAAAGGGTGCGTTGACTAGTCTTCCACATCAGCCGTTAATAATAGAATTTACGGAATAGTATTTTAAGTCGTTTAAATTCAAATAATCAAGATAAAAACAGATTAAAAATTAAATAAAACTATTTTTACGTAGTCTTTTAGATCAGGCGTTTATAAGAATTACATCAATTAATGAATTCAATAAATATGTTTAAAAGGCCAAATAAAAAATATCAATTTCTTTCTAGACCTATGTATATAATTCTTTGTTGATATAAACTAGTCATGCTTAACAGTCTTTACAAATGAAATAACAAATAAATAAGTAACGGAGTAGGCCTACCACCTAAACGCACCGTTTCGGGATCAGCGGGCGGGGGGGGGGGGGGGGGGAGGGTGGGGTGCTTTCTGAATTCCATACATAGAAATAAATGGATATTATTTTTAGTTATTTTAATTATTAAACGACTGATATGCAAGACTAGGTAAAAACCTTTATTAGACATTTTAGATATCATAGTAAATTATTTGATTGTGTTTCTTGTTATTTATTGATTTAATTCGTATAAACGCCTGATCTCCAAGACTACGTAAAAACTAGTTTGATTTAATTTTTAATCTGTTTCTATTTTGATTAGGCCTATTTGAATTTAAACGACTTAAATTTATATTCCTTAAATTCTATTATAAACGACTGATGTGGAAGACTAGTCAACGCACCCTTTCGGCCAAACCCGGGGGTTGCTATTTTTTTCTGCGGCACAGATTGGGGCTTTTTTTTTTAAAGAGGTCTTGATTTAAACCTAACCCTAACCCTAAACTTTCCCATAGGCTCAACACGCACCTAACCCCAATCTGTGCCGCCGAAAAAAATAACGCACCCGGGGGGGGGGGGGCATTGGACGAATGGTTGCGTTCAAGTAAACGCGACGCGACACTACCCTACCCTACCCACCCTTTCGGGATAAGCCGTTTACAGCATACGCTTCTCTGTTCACATAGCTTACTCTCATCGAAACGTTCCAGCCCGCGACTTTTGTATACATATATAGCTAGCTTGATGACGCGTGCTGTGGTACAAACGGCCGACCATACTAGTTATTAACACAATTATGCAGAGTATAAAATGTCGTCTTAATTGGCCCCCAGACGATTTTCAAAAATTCGGCTTCGAGGTACACTGCGTATTGCAACTCGGAATATCACTGCAAAATTTAAAGGAAAAAAGGGACGGGAAGGGGACGAAAACCATTCTGAAAAAATGACGCCATAGCCGACACGTGTTATAACTATGCGAAAACTAAGCAGAATTCGTATAAAGACCCTTGTTCAAACGCAATTTACTCAAATATTTCTGTGATAACATATAACGTGTTTGGTATCATTCATTCAGTTTGACACCATTGTCATCAATGTACTACAAGCATTAAACGCCCTATTATGTAATGCATAGTAAATTCATCATTTTTGGCGATAACTTTGCGCTGAAGTCATCGAATCTTATTAAACTTGGCAGACAGTTGCCACGTATGTGGATACAAGTGTATGCAACGTTTTATTGACGTAGGTATAAGAATCGTCATTTTAGAGCAAGTTGAAGTTATTTCGGAACTTTCTTGAAAATGGCGAATTTGGAGGGCAATGTTCTCAAATTTGGTCAGTGTTAGGGTATATAATTTTGTAAATGGCTGGAAAGGGCATATCTTCAAGTATCTAAATCCAAAAAAGGGTACGGCCTCAGTAAGAAAGCCAATTCCCAGAAATTTTGGAGGGCGCTATTTATTTTTTGCATAGCGATTGGAACGTGAAATTTGGCACGGCTTCGTGCAATTATGACATTAAAGTGACTTGGTAACATTGTTGAAGGTTGATGAAAGAAATTGCTCAATTTTTTTATAAAATGTTACTTACTGTCTTCCTGCTACTGTACCAACCCTCTGACATGCAAAAAAATCCTGAAAAAAATTCTCAAACCACAAAGATATCCAAGGTTTTCTTTGAAAGCGTCGATGTAAGACACCCTCTTACGGTGATTAACAGTAAATTTTCCCAACCGTTTTTCCATGAAAAAAAAACCATAAAACAGGCTGTAAAAAATCTGTCAACACTTAAATGTCTAGAATGGAATGTAGAGCCATTTTCTTGCTTCGTGAGATTTCCATTCCCCTAAAATATAATTAAATTGTAATAATATAGTTGGGAGAATTAAGGAATTGATCAGATCAGTTATTCCCAATTTGTACTATGAATAATGGTCCATTTTCACTCAAATTTTCAGATTATCTTTAATTGTACGTCTAGCATTGAGGTCACTACCTTAGCACCACTATTTCTCATCTGAACAATGTTACCAAGTCCCTTTAAGAAACTGTGAGATTTAAATACAAAACGGATTTCATATGAGAAAGTTATGGCAGTTTTAGATTTTTAGGGGTCAATTTTTCAAAAATTTGAGAGATTTTTGACGGAGTCGGTTTCAGATTTGAATTTTGAGTACAAAAATGGCGTTTTGAAGGTCAAGTTATAGGTCGCAGATGAAAGAACAGCTCCTAGACTATCTAAAGGAATTTGTTAGAAACTTGTAGGATCTAGGATAGTGGAGATAGAAAGGAAGAAAGAAAGGCCTTAATATGGACCAGAAACGGACAAAATGGCGCCTGGACGGGTGTGCATGAGTGATTCCGGAGAACAAAGATTACAGTGACCTTGATTGGATGCTATCGACTACGCCTACGAAGTTTGAAAGAAATTGGGATAGGGGAACGAACCGAACTAGGAATAACAAGCACCATGTGCAAAACGAATGCGATTTCCTGACGATAAGGAAAACGAGTGTAGAATATTAATGGGGCAGAATGTGAACGAAAACAAGGCAATGACGACCGAGAACATCAATAATAATATATGTTAATAATTATGTTGTCTTCAAAGGCGACATGAGCACAGTGTTTATATTAAGATCTAGATCTACGTACCCCGAATTCATGGACGTTAGTTGCTTAGTCTTGACAAACAGGTCAACCAAGGCTTCTTCACTTCTGCCCCTCGCTCCGGACACAAGCAGCCGCTGTTGGTTTTTGGTTTGGTCTTCAAATAGAAGACTAAGCCCTCCAATTGACTCTCCTAAATCAATCTTCCTGTCTATGGTGAGTGCTGGCGAGGCGTGTAGTCTGATATGAACAAAGGACTGTTCATCCCTAGCCCTCGGTCGACCCATAGGTCTGGAGGCAGTGGTGATCTGAATAGTGTTGTTTATCTCTAGCTCTGCAACATCAATATAGACATCGATCTCGCTCAAACCAGGTATCGATGGGAGCAAACCTTCGTAGCAGAGTGATGTCATTCTCTCGGCTGATAGATTTGTGAATGATGGAAGCTTAGGTAGAGATGGAGGGAAACTGATAGGAGAGTCTGAGATTGTGAGGGTATGCAGCATCGAAAATGATCCAAGACAAGACCATATTCCATTCGTCACGTCGTTGGTTAGAGTAGATCCCTCGAACTGCACTGCCCTAACCTGTAGTTTAGAAAGAGAGGGAGAAAGAGAGAGGCAATTACAGAGAGCTTAATAGACGAAGAATATAACATTAATAGTTGATAACATGTTAAGCGTGTTAAACATTAAATAAACCGAGACTTTGGCATGATCTAATCCGAGAATATTCGGAAAGCAATGGAAGTTCCCTCCCCGACTCCTTTACATTCATTATAAGTAATATATTTATATTCTTCCATGTTGAATGTACAGATCCTTTGTTTTAAATACGCTACATGTTTTGATTGACTGATTCTTGTCATTTTCCTTACAATTTTTTGTTATTATTATAATTTGTGAATCATTTTGCTTCATTCTTGAATGAAATACCTTTATTGAGGCCACAGTTTAAGTGAACATGGAATAATAATCATGATGAGTCATACATCTTGATCGTTATGTCATGCAGTATGATATATCAAGAAGCCGTTAATCATAAGTAATTAATGAATACAAACTTAACACTAAATTCTTACCTATTTGACTTATAGCAGATAGTTTAATGCACAGAAATAAAAACTGAAAGAATCTTTATGAAATTATTATTGTAAACACATTTTTGTAATATGAAAATGAACATACCTCACGTTTTAGTTGCGTTGGAAGATTTTTCATTCCAATGACGGTGTAGACAGTTGGTGACTTAAGAACCATACTCCGTGCTGTGACGCATCTTCGAACCAACGAAGACAAATTTCCTTCAGCACCCGAAGTCTCTGATGAGCAGTCAAGGAGAATGCGATATCGCTCGCTCTCATCCAAAAAGCTGTTGGAAAGGAGCGCCTCCATTATTCGCATACAGAGGCTGTTATCCGTGCCAGCCGCGAATCGGATGAGATTCTCGTAGTCACTGATGTTTGCTTTGATCTTGAGCATTACTTTGTCTAACTCAGAAATCTTCAGACGCAACAGGATGTGTTTTGTTTGATCAGCGAGGAATTTCCCAGCTGAGTGTTCTTGTGCTAGTTTGTGATAAAACTCAATGGTAGTGGAAGTGGTTTCGTTGGACTGAGGGAGTCGTGTTGATGAAACAGTCGTCTTGGATACTATCCCAAGCTCACATGCTCTTTCAAGGATTGCGGGAACTTTGCGAAAATCATTAGGCGTGAAGACTAGTTTTTTAGCATCGTCGAGCAAACCTGTAAGAGCCACTTTGCCTAATTTACAAATGGTTTCCCTCAACTTTTGGCGTGTGATTGTCACTCTTGACTTTGATCGGACGTTGGCATGGTGCATCAAAAAAACATTCACGCTGTCTAATAATTCTGTTTGAGTTGCAATTTCAGTGTTCAAAAGCCCCTCGCTCCATAAATGACAGACCATGAGACAAAATAGAGGTGTTTTAACAAGTTCATTAATGAGTGGTTGTTCATCAAGGTAAACCTTCAGACCATGACCATGTCTGCTATAATTATTCGAAGTCGAAGCAAAGAACTTGTCGATGTACTCACGTGAGTTCTCTCGTGAGAATCCTTCGATCCCCATCTTTGTGTATACCCTTGGAAGATCATCTTGATTGAAGAAGTTCTCTAGGTGAGGACGTGTTGTTACAAGAACTCGACACTCTGGAAATTCCTCCCAGCGGATAACACTGACCATATTGCTCTCTGAGCTTCGGTTTGAAGAAGAGATACCCGCATACTCATCTAGCCCGTCTAGTATGATGTGACAGATTCTCTGATTCTCTCTAATGAAACTCTCCAGACCCTCTGGTTTAAGATCATCAACATCACTTAAAAGCTGGGTTTTGATAGCTTTTCCGATTGATGTAAGCTGACTTGTGTTTCGGAATTTCACAACAAACAGAAGTGGCAGGTGTTCTAGTGCTGACCCCTTTTCTCTGTGAACCCATTCGTAAGCCATCTTAGCGACAGCCGTGGTCTTCCCTCTTCCAGCGGGGGCCGAAATGAGGATTCGAGCTGGCAGTTCTCCGTTTACTTTCGTTGAAAATATATCAGCAACAGAATCCTTGAGTATTTCCTTCTTTTTCGTGTCTTGTCCACTAGCGTCCTTCTTCACAATTGTGACAACCGTGTGCATATCATCGAACTCAGCATAATCACTTTGATCCCACGGTTTCATTTGAATTTTGCACAATTGTTTTCGGTACTTATTCTCCAACTTTTCGCGACATCGCTCAACAGTCAACGATGCCGAGATCTTCTTACCGTAGATACCTGGAATGATACAAGCATAAAACCAATGTATTATTTTTACTCACATGATATATGAACCCCTTCGCAAGGTTTTGGGGGATGATTTTTGTTTTCTCGTTGAAATACATGAATTCCGACGATTTGCCTCAGTTTTGCCACGAAGTAAAGGCCTAAAAACGCACTAAACGCTGTTGTTATCGTTGATTAGAATGTATGGATCAGTCAGGAAAACTTTCTCTCCAAATCGATATTAAAAATCGTTGGTATATTTTTTCCTGTTTATTAAATAACTTTTTCAAACAGAAATTGAGGGAGAGAGATGTACAGGGTGAAGGAAAGTCCAGTCATGCAGCCACTTCCCAAGACGCCAAGTTAATAATTTCAATCCATCTTGAGTCACGAATTATGTTTATATATCGAATTATTTTTTAATAAGTATCAAAGCTTGACCGGCCTATTCTTTTACCAGACATTTCTATTTTCAGAGGGTTCACAAAACCGACATTCTTGATATATGCCTTATGTATTTAATTGTTTTGTCAGTGTCGTTGTCTATCTGTCTCTTGGGCCTCATACTCGTGGGCTCTGGGTCTCCTGGAACGACCCCGTGCTCTCAGGGGCGTTGCAAGAGGGAGGGGAGGGGTTATGGGAGTTATAGGCAAATGTGTCACTTCTTCCGGCAAAAAAGGGAAGGAAAACATGAACAAAAGAGGGGGGAAGATTTAGGAGAAGGGAGAGCAAGAAAAGAGAAAGAAAAATTATGAAGAAAGAAAGAAGGAAAAATGAAGAATTCAAGAAAGAAAGAGAAACAGGAGAAAAGAGAAATTAGCGACAGGATAAATGAATATGAAATTCAGAGGGATGACAAGTAAAATAAAAGAGTGAGAAATGAGAAGGACGAGGAATAAGGCAGCCCAGTAAAATATTTCCAATTAAGATTATACAGCATCGTATTCTCCATAATTATACGCATATAGCTAAAAACTGGCCAACGTACATGGAGCTCTACAACAGGAAAAGCATAGCAAAGAATGTATTTCCTACGAAATATGAAGTCCTTTCCTGTGGATAGGACAAATTTTAGGTTTTTGTTATGTTTCGATAGTACAGAGCGTTATGTTAATATATTGTATAGTTTGCAGGTTGTAGAAAATGGGATCTTGCAAAAGTGGAAAATAATAGCCAAACATGCTGAAATAATCAATGGCGTAAAGCAGGACTTGGGGGGGGGTGTGTATCAAGAGAATCGTCCAAATAGCAAAAGAAATCATGACAAATGACAATGATCCTTTATTTTATTTTCATGAATTTCTCAGATCAGGAAGAAGATTGAAGTCACTGAGATGTAGGACCCAGCGATTTACAAACACATTTGTTCCGTATTCAATCAGGGCATGTAACACACAAAACGCTTTTTGTAATCCAAAGTTTCTTCTTCTTTCTTTAGAATATTTTTCGTTTGGAATTGAGTAAAATGAATATTTAGTGAAAGTAATTATTACGATGTGGTACACAGTAGTCATCTACAAATATAATTCAGTGTGTATATTTTCAATTTATCAGATTCATTCCGATATACTAAAATTCAGCTTAATTTTTTAATAAAGTTTGTTTTAGTGGTAATAACTGTTATTCATAAATATGCATGGATTAGTTAAACTACGTAACTTGCGGAATCGAAACAAGCCATAACTAAACGAGAATCAACATTACGTATGATAATTATTTGTCATCACCAAAATGTATCTATGTAATTTATGTTCTTTGTAAAAATTTGTCTGAGTCTTAATTGTACATTTGAGCGAAACAAATATCCATGTTAACCGTGCTTTAGACAAAAAATTACATTGAACAATTAACAATGAACATTTTTACTAGCGAACTAGCCGGGATTTTGCAGTTACACGCATTTTCGGTCTTAACGGCAACACAGTATCGGACTCACACGTCACTGTCAATATGACTAAAAATGAGAAAATGTAGTTTTGCCTAAATCTCTGATAGCGTCAATTAATTTTAAATATTTGTCTTCGGTATTTTCAAATATATGAACCTGTTACGAAAATTCCTAAACATTCCTTATAGTAGCGTACGATATTGGGGCAATCAGCTAAACTCTTTGACAAAAGTCTGCCGGAGCACAGACAAGTCTTTTCAACTTTTACCATTGTATGCCCTATATGTCAAATCGACAATTTTGTCCTTCGAAGTGGGCATTAAAGTATCGTTAATATTCCTTTCTCTTCTAAATAACTTAGGGGTTATGCCTAAGATATCGTCTGGTTGGCATATTGTTCATCTCCCCCCCCCCCCCCTTCCAAGGAGAATAATCGCTGTTTTAAAGCCATCATACCTGACGTACTTTGCGGTGGAGTCGCCTCTTGTTCACGTGGGTCCTGCTGCTTTGGGAGATATTCACCTACAGGAAATGTATACATAGTCATTTCTGATGTTATTTATGCATCCATGGCTCGAGAGATTCGAACATCAAAACATATTTTACATTCAGATACGAATAATATTTAAATTTCATATATCAAACAATACAGCTAGATTGCTTGACTGATCAAATTTACCTTCAATTTGATAACGAAATCATACAATATAGATATTATTCATTTAGTAGCATTTAAGCAGGAGAAAGAGAACGCGACATGATGAATTTATAACAAATTCAGAGGGATGACAAGTAAAATATAAGAGTGAGAAATGAGAAGGAGAAGGTACAAGGCAGCCCAGTAAAAATATCTCCAATTAAGAATCATACAGCATCGGATACTAACAGGCCAACGTACATGGCGCTCTACAACGAAAAAAACATAGCAAAGAATGTATTTCCTACGGAATATTAAGTCCTTTCATGTGGATAGGACAATTGTTAGGTTTTGTTATGTTTCGATAGTACAGAGCGTTATCAATTTAAATTATATTGTATAGTTTGTAGGTTGTAGAAAAGGGGATCTTGCAAAACTGGAAAATAATGAAAAAATTATTTTTTTTTTCAGATCAGGAAGAAGATTGAAGTCACTGAGATGTAGGACACAGCGATTTACAAACACATTAGTTCCGTATTCAATCAAGGCATGTAACAAAATATTTAAAAAATTGAAATCCATAGTTTCTGCTTCTTTCTTTAATAATATGTTTCGTCAGGAATTGAGTAAAATGAATATTGAGTGAACATACTTAATATCATGTGGTACTAAGTAATTGAAAATAATATCGCTAGTGATATTCGTTTGTCTCGCAATGTGGTCAATAAGGAATCTAAAAGATCACGACGTTTCGTATGCTACTGCGATACTTCGTCAGGTGATAAAAACTATTGTAAGCAAGGGTCTTTTATACTTTACGGGAGGACCGGCGGAGCGGTCTATAATTCGATCGATAATTGGAACAATAACGCCCAATGCCTATTGGTCGACGCACACGGTGATCGACCAATCACCAAGGCCGCTGGTTCGGCCGCTGGTTCGAATTATTTACAAATATAATTCAGTATGTATATTTTCAATTTATCAGATTTATTCCGATATACTAAAACTCAGCTTATTTTTTTTTTATAAAGTGCGTTTTGTGGTAATAACTTTTATTCATAAATATGCATTGATTATTAAACTACGTAACTTGCGAAAATGAAACGAGCCATAACTAAACGAGAATCAACATCACGTATGATTATTATTTGTCATCACCAAAATGTATCCATGTTATTTATATCGTTTGTAAAAAATATTCTGAGCCTTAATTGTTTATATGAGCGAAACAAATATCCATGTTAACCGTGCTTTAGACAAATAATTACATTGAACATTGAACAAAAATATTTTTATTAGCGATTGTATGCCCTATATTTCAAATCGACAATTTTGTCATTCGAAGTGGGCATTAAGATATCGTTAATATTCCTTTCTGTTTTAAATAACCTAGGTTACATTTAAATTAGTGTTTACCTTCGGACAATTTTGTCCCTAGTCCACCAAGCTCCACATCTTGAAGCTTTGTCGCCAGGATTGATCGTGATTGGCTTGTGTCTGCTTGTTTAGTATTCCACTTGATCAGAATATCAATGATAGCCTTACTGTAATCATTTAGATGAGTTGAGAGAATTGATTGATTCCAATTATGGGGGTAGCCCAGGTGGATACACAGTTCTGAGTAACTCGCATGGGGTATGGCTCTGGAAAGATGAATCATCTCGACTTCCTGTAAATATGGTAAAGGCTCCATTGTTCTGTGAAGGGCATAAAGTAAAAGCATTACACGGGTCAACTTGGTGATTAAGTCAAACCAAGGAGTTGCTAGGCGACCAGAGAAGTGTTGAACAGGTAATCATCAAATATATAATCATTTCAAAAAAGTGAAATATTTCACAGGGTTGAGATTAACTACTTGAATAGTTTTCCTAACTAATTATTCAAAGTTTACTCGAGATACTTAGGAATACATTTTTCGGAAAACTTGACTAGTAATGGTCGATCATAATTACTGTGAAAAAACGCCAAATGTTGTCATGGTGTAAAAGAGTCTCAACTGTTCCAGGGAGGATGACTGTAGTTAAAACTGTTGGTACCAAAACTGAATTATTTATTGCTTTCACATCCAGAACTAAACTCGCAATTTATGAAAGACATAAATCTTTCTTTTTATGCATTTCTATGGGGTAGCAAATATGACAAGATCTGTAGAGAACAAATGTGTCAACTATACAATAGAGGCGGGGTTTAAACGATTTAATTAAAAATGTCATCCATACTCCCTAAAGATATAATGGATAAGAATATTTAACTGATTCCCAGGTGCAAAGTTACATTTGCCACATGTTACATTCTTTCTTTTGCCAGACTTATTCTTGTCACTTGTATATGGATTTTATTTACCTAGAACATTTGGCAAACATGACCCCTATTTTGGAAAGAGGTTCTTTTTGCTTGGTCCTTTTGGGTTGAACTTCGTATTGATGTGCATGTCAACCCCTCTATAACTACCCCCGAATCAAAGCGAATTATAAAGTAATTTATCTTAAGTATTGGAGAAGGGCGGTGGAGTGTCTTTCAGAGTGCGGGTGCAACAACAAAAGGACACTTCTGTAGAAGAAAAATAGGAGGCACTTGCAAAGGATAAACTGAATGGGATTTAAAAATATATATATATTTAGACATTCATAAATACCCCTACATTGTAAAGAGTACATGATCAAGGATGATCTTCATCAAGTTATCTTTACGTGATCAAAGATACTACTCCAGCTAAATACTTTGCAATTGTGTTATTAACTGAAGATTAAATTACGAGCCAGCGAAGCGAGCGGGCAAACATTTAAGATTTGTCAGGTCGCATTGCAACTTATTAGATCTAATTATTTAGACGATCATCAATCATGATAGGATTTTAAGCACAATTTCATTATGGAAGATTGAGAATTTGCAGAATTTACGTAATGCTATACTATAAATTCAAGCGAGCGTAGCAAGCGAATTTGGTGGAAATTTGAGGGGAAAAGCCCTCCGTCGCTTTAGAGTAGAGGTACATGTTAAGGAGGCTATGATTTCTTCATTGTTTCGGGGGACATTAGGGATTATAAAGGGTTATAAAAACATCTTGTCAAAGCAGGTATAAACATGCTGCACACATTTTGTAAGTGACAATGTGATATATAGTTAAAAAATAGGTCCTTATCAAAGGGCAGTCATAAAGAAGAGACTGTTCAAAAGTAAAAAGGAGAATTTATCTTCTTTAAATGGGCACTAATTAGAAAGTAAAATGTTTTCGTGTCAAAGTAAAAGGGGTAGTTTTCAGAAATAAAAAAGGACGGTTATCAGAGGTGAAAAGGGGAAGGGAAAGGGGCAAATGAAAAAAGGGCAGTTATTACGAAAGGGAAGGGCACTTATCAGAAGAGCCGGAAGAGGCCACTCAGATAATGTTGTAGCCAACTGGCACACAAAACCCCTGATTAACCTTTTTTTCTTTTCCTCGTCACAAAGGATTTATGTAAGTTTGTCCCCTAAATTTTTGTTGTATAAGGCTCAGTATCAATTTTTATTCGGATCATTTGTATTATGCAAATAGGAAAAGCCTGAACAGATTATTAATCATGTATATGGTAAGATCGAAATAGCAGCAGGATAGAGAATACAGCTGCAAGTTAATGTCAAAACTAAATCAAAGTAAAGAGGTCGAACGGATGAAAAGAGATAAACAACATACATGTTAAGTATATCCTATATATGTGGATACGATGCATGTATATATGCTTAGATTATGCAATAATCACGTAATTTCAAACTTTAATAGGCAATTCAAATTTCGCTTTTCATCATGAAAACAATTAAAAACAAAAATAATGAATAATTATAATAAAGTATATATTTATGCAAAAGTTTTTAGTATGTTTTCCTCACCATGTTAGTTCTTTGTATACCGCAAGTCTAAACATAAACTCATGATGGCTTATCAATATCCGGGCAATCAGTATTGCCCGGCACCCACCCGACGGCTAAGGAGCAAATTTGATTGTAGAACAAGTCGAATAATTGTCGTTAAAATATACAGACAACATTATAGATAACATCAATGTGTCCAGATCGTGGTAATAAGGAATTACTAAAAGATGGAAAAGGAAAGCAAGGAAGAAGAGGAGGAAGAAGAAGAGAGAGAGAGAGAGTATGGCCTGGTGTTCAAATTCGGCTTCCTTTAAAATCCTTAAACCCGATACTGATGATCGTTTATAAGCTATATTCTATGAGACGCATTATTAATTGTCATCAAAATATTCAAATAGCATTGTAGAAGACTAATACTAATCGTTGAGAAGAGCAGAGATGGCCGCAATTGTACTTGCCCTAACATGGTTATTACAACTCCCAGGACTCTACACCGGGGCAGTCATCTTTTCTGATTCTTTGAGCTCACTCCAGGCCATAGAATCTCGTAAAGACGAATCTTTCATTCTTGAAATTTTAACCATGTGTAGTCAACTAAAATACAAGGGCACCCAGGTCAATTTCGAATGGATTCCCAGTCACTGTGGTCTACAACACAATGAGATAACAGATAAGTTTGCTAAAGCAGGACTAAATAAAAATATAAAAATTAACAACGCTCTTACCAGAGCAGAATGAAATTATGTTATAAAGAAATACTACATAGAGATATGGCAAAAAGATGGAATGAAACATCATCCCCCCCTACGGGAAACGCAAACTCTAGTATCAACAATATTTGTATGTTACTTGAACAACAGATACATGAAACTATTCTTCATCGCCTAAGAATGGGGAACTTAGGTTTAAATGCAAATCTATTTGAGTTGAATCAACATGAGACCGGTCATTGCTCAAACTGTGAGCACGAAAAAGAAACCGTTATGCAAATGCCCACTCTTTCTTATAGAAAAAGCCATGCTTATAACAGAATCTGGCATAGAAAACGAAAAAGTAATCCCAATACTCCTGAAATCAACAGACATTAATCACCAACAGGCTCTGGTCAACTTCGTAATTAGAACTAAAAGGGTACACCTGTACCCCTACTAACCACCTTGCACCGCACATAATTATTTGAGCCCAATGGCCCGAATTCACAAAGCAAGGTTTGAGCTTAGACCAAGGTTTGAGCTCAAACCTCCTTTTGTTTCGCCAAACCTCCTTTTGTTATTTACAAAAGGAGGTTTGGCGAAACAAAAGGAGGTTTGAGCTCAAACCTTGGTCTGAGCTCAAACCTTGCGTTGTGAATTCGGGCCAATATGTTTCGCTTTTTATAGTTAGTAATACATGAAGAAGAAGAGTGAGAAAGAAAAAAAAAAGAAATTAGAAGAGAGAACTGCCTATATTAACATTTAAAATCTTCATGTATATAATCTGTTTTTTATTGGTTTTCGGACAAAATTTTGAAGAAACGCGGTGGAGACGACTAGACATATTGGTGGACGTCGGAGGGCCTAGGCTCAGCATTAGGCTAAGTTGAGAAGCTTGTCACAACGCACCGTGTCCGAGCTGGTCCTTGGGCGTCCTATATGGCCAATAAGCCTTTTGCTCGCCAGCCACTGAATTCTTCAACATTAAAGGTGAAATTCAAAGAAAATCACAAATATGTCAACTAATGTATCACTAGAAACTGTAAAGCTAACAGATGGCCATCGTACAAGTTTTAGGTCAACTACAAATCGGGTGATTTAAAAAAATACAAATACAACCACCTCCATAGCAGCTGGGATATACGAGAGATTCGCCGGAAAAAAAACGAAGTTTTAAAGACGTCACTATATGGACCAATACTGCCCAAGCAGACGACATCCCATGAAGAATGAACATAATTGCAAAGCATTATTTGTCAAATTATAATGAGTTAACGGGAGCAATATCTTTAATATATTGCACTAGAGTGTTATCGTGACTATACAACAAGGCTTTTTTGTATCAAGAAGCAAAGCTTGCCGACTTCTAACTTCAACTTCAGTTATTGGTTTCCAAAATAGACATTGCTCTATAATTATTTTGCCCCCAATAACCATCATATGCTACATATGAAAACGTTTGCTTGGGTTTTTCTCATAAAAGAAGTTGACCACAAACTGACTTCCACACGGTGTTGAGTGCTCAGGGGTCACGGGCCACTGGCTTCATCGGGCAGGTATTTCCATTATGTGAATGGGTAAATTAACTTTTTAAAAATGAGGGGACACATTACATTGTACAATAGGGACACACATTGTTTTTATTGTGCAGAACATACTCTTTTATTGACTTACTTATTGAATGAAACTATAAAACCAAAATGCATTTTGTAGTCTAACAATTAGAGTACAAAGAATAATAACAGGTGAATGAAATGCATAAACACCACACCTGGGAAGGAAGCATTCATACATTTGAATACATATAGTTGATATACGACTCCGCACGAAACTTTAAAACCAAAATGTAATGTGCGTTCTGGTAATTGGAGTACAAGAATGATAGCAGGTGTATGAAATGCTTCAACAACACAAACACCTAGGAAGAAATAATCCATAAATTTGAATAATTTAGTTGATAAACGACTCCGCATGTGGACGTTTGGTGGAGACAACACGAACCCATTTAACAGAATGTCGGAACGTAAATTAAATTTGGCGCAGTTGGAAAATGCATCTTTCTACCCTGCGACTTTAACGGTACGACCCAGTAAATTAAAACAGTAAAATGGCTCTTATTTAAAAATTACTCATTAAATAAAACCCAAAACTTTAGTGGT